GATCCGTTTCATGGCGGAGGTTGGTCCGGGGGGGGGGGGCTACCATATATATATATACCTTAACCTACCAAAACCCACTTTTCTGTAGGTTCTTATTATAAACCCTAATCTGGAATTCATAGGGACCCTACAAAAAAGTAGGTTCTGGTAGGTTAAGGTGTATATATATATGCTCTGGAAACCCTTAACCCTAAACCCTAAACCCTAAACCCTGAACCCTAAACCCTAAACCCTAAACCCTAAACCCTAAGCCCTAAACCCTAAATCCTATCATAGGGGCCCTGGATAGGTCATTTTTGCAGTGGAGGCACTCCATAAAGGCCAAGAAGAAGTGGCGGCTAAAGCGCTTGCCTAGGTTTTTTGAGGACTTCTGCATTTACGGTTGGAGACTCAAGGCTTTAGGTTTCTGGGGGTTTAGGGTTTGGGGTTTAGGGTTTAGGGCTTAGGGTTTAAGCTTCAGGGTTTAGGGTTGCTTCAAGCCTAGCAAGGGTGGTTGGAACGGACCGACTGAAGTTGCTCGCAAACGTTCTGGGCGCTTCAACTGGTGCTCGACATAGTCCGCACCTAATGTAGGGGGCGTAATAATTAGAGTGGGTTTTGGGGTCTACTTTACTATAACTGTAGTAAGGAACCCCCAACACAGTATTGGTTTTGTTAGGCCTCTATATTACTGTTCTGGGGGATACTTTCCCAACTCATAGTAGAGATTCCTAAAGTAGAAACCCCACCGTCTACTATGTAGTACCTGGGACCATTTGGGTATTGTGGCTCTTCTAAAGATCAACGAGGCTTGAGGCTTTATTCACCCAGCCTCCGCCCACCAAGCAAAAATCGAGGTGCCAATTTCCAAGCTCTGTGAGTCCGGTGCCAGCAGGCTGGGAACGAAGGACGTGTCCTTCAAAAAAGACCCACTTTACTGGGCCTTCATAATTAGACTGGGGTTTTGGGGTCCTGTATAGTATATAGTTATAGTAAGGAGCCCCCCCCCCCAGAATAGTATTAGTAATTATTGAGGCCCCTAGATTGCTCTACGCTCGCTATGGGTTGAGGGTGTAGGGCTTATAAGGTTGTAGGGTTTAGGGTTCACAATGGTTGGGGCTTATAAGGTTTAAGGTTTGTTTTTTGAGCTCCTCTTTTGCGACTGCCCCGGGACCCTAAACCCTAAACCCTAAACCCTAAACCCACCTACGGGACCCAACTCCCCAAGGAGTCCATCGCATCTATGAAACTATGAAGCAGAATGGAGGGTTTAGGGTTTAGGGTTTAGGGTTTAGGGTTTAGGGTTTAGGGGTTAGGGTTTGTGAAGTAGAATGTAGGGCATAGGGTTTAGGGTTTATGAAGTAGAATGTAGGGCATAGGATTTAGGGTTTGTGAAGTAGAATGTAGGGTTTCTGTATTAGCAACCCTTATTATGATTAGGAAAAGTATCCCCCATAAACGTACCTAGGACGTGTTTAGAATAAACCTTAACACAAACTCCTATGGATTCAAAATTTCACTCCATACCGGTTTAAGGGCTTTACACAGGTAGCTGTCCAAACTCTGAACCCCTAAAGCGTGAGATGCTCACACATACGACGGAACCGGATGAGGGTTCAGGGTTTAGGGTTCAGGGTTTAGGGTTTAGGTTTTAGGGCACTAAAGCCTAAACACCAGAACACGCCTGCTAGAAAAGTCGGGGGACGTAGTAAGTGCAAGTAGTGATTCAGCTCAGTAGGGTTATGGCTGGGATGGCCCAAAATATGCCGGCCTTAATAATTGTTAATAGAGTTTTGGGGTAGACTATACAATAATTGTAATGAGGAGCCCTCCAAAAAGTATTTGTAATTATTTAGGCCCCTATAGTAAGTCAGAATTAGCTTGCGGGCCTGCCCCAACTTTACAAGCTCTACCTTAAGAACCCAAAACCCACTTTTTTGTAGGCTCTTATTATAAACCCTAATATGGGATTTATAGGGACCCTACAAAAAAGTAGGTTTTGGGTTCTTAAGGTATGAAGTAGAAACCCTCAGCCCTCAGCCCTGAACCGTATACGCCCGAAGCTCTACCCCCTGAGCCAGCATCTCTACAGCCCTACAGCCCAATATAGGGGCCTTCATCATTAGAATAGGGTTTGGGGGCCCTATATACTATAATTACAACAAGGAACGCCCAAAATAGTCCAGGCCCCATACTAAACCGAAAGCCCGTCCCGGAAGGAGGTGAAGTGGCCATCTTCCGTTCGGTAAAATCCTGTCCATGGCTTAACTTCCGAGCTTTTAGCACCGCTTTACAAGGGCTTGGATGGTTTTATGATGGTCTTCTTGGGTAGGATAATGGCTGTTTCGAAATAGACCCCTGAAGAGATCAATAAGTCAAGTTGAGGGTGTTGCTTTCCCCGTCGTATTTTTCGTTGTTTAAGGTTTGGGTTTGGGGGGTCGGTGGTTGGGCTTGCTTCGAACACCAATAGGTTGGGGTAATGCTGCGGGGTTACCGCATAGGGATTAGATTGCACCGCGCGCTGGGCAGCCCCATTAAAAGGATTTTCAACCCGAACCTTCGAACAGGGCATTCGGTTTCGGGCTTAGGGTTGAGGGGTTTAGGGCTTAGGGCTTAGGGTTCAAGGTTTAGGGTTTAGGGCTTAGGGCAATTCTAGGAGCCTGGAGACATGTTCGTACAGCTTCATGGTCTGCTTAGGGAAGTTATGGAGCTTTAATACGGTGTGACTCTGTGGTCTACCTTACATACAAGGTACTTGAGGGGTGACGGAAGGCTCCAAACCCTAAACCCCTACACCCCTAAAACCTATAAACCCCTAAACCCTAAACGCCTAAACCCTAAACCCCAAACCCTAAACCCCACAAACCCCCAAGCCCCAATCCCTATAAACCCCTAAACCCTAAAAACCCCTAAACCCTATAAACCCCGATAAACCTTAAACCCGAGACCCTAATCCCACAAACCCCCAAGCCCCAATCCCTCGAGCCCGGGCCTCGACTCTGAAGACTAATCCCCAACACGGAACCTGAACTCCAGGACACTGGGGTTTAGGGGTTTAGGGGTTTAGGGGTTTAGGGTTTAGGGTTTAGGGTTTCGGGTTTAGGGTGTAGGGTTTAGGGTTTAGGGTTTATCGTAGGATTCTGTGTCGGAGGCTTGTTCAAAGAAAAAACTTTAAACCCAAAAACTCCAAACCTAAACCATAAGCCCTAAACTCGACACCCTAAATCCTACAGCCCTAAACCCGACACTCTAAATCCTACAGCCCTCAAGACCCGGAGCCCTTACCCCAAAACCCGAAACCCTTCAAGCTCAAAAACGTTTTCCCTGAACCACCCCCCATCCTAAACCCTAAACCCTAAACCCTAAACCCTAAACCCTAAACCCTGCACCCTATCTCCTGCCTTGCGCTTCGAGTGCAAAGCGCAGCCACTCCGCCAAGCGAGTGGAACCATGGCCTCTTGCGAGGCCGTCCAACGAATTTAAAGGCAAAAATGTCTTGGATAAGGGCAAAAACTCGTTGGATAAGGCACGTTCGCCAAAAATGCGTCTCCAACGATTTTTGTCTTATCCAACCAATTTTCCGTCCAGCGAAGTCTGAAGGGCAAAAATTCCGTGGATAAGGGCAACATTCGTTGGATAAGGCACGTTTGCTCTTACTCAGGGTTTAGGGCCTAGGGTTTTGCGGCTTACGGGTTAGTGCCTAGGGTTTTGGGGCTACAGTTCAGGACCGAAGGTTTTGGTGCTTACGGTTTCGGGCCTAGGCTTTTGGGGCGGTTTAGAGCCTATAGGGCTTTGGTGCTTACGGTTTAGAACCTAGGGTTTTAGAGCTTATGGTTGACATGAATGAAACCAAAACATGTACGTAGCTCTTGAAGGCTGGGCTCCTTCAGGGGTCAAAACATGTAGCTCTTGAAGGCTGGGCGGCTTCAGGGGTCAAAACATGTAGCTCTTGAAGGCTGGGCCCCTTCCTATTCAAAGAATCCACACCACAAGCTCGCGCAGCGAGAACTCCTGCGCAGCTCCGAAGACGACGAAGGCGCAGAACGGGAGAAAGGAAGACGACTGTGCCGGCTGCGGCTGGGTGGTCCGAAGACGACGCAATGGTTTCGGACACAGTTGAGTGTGCCTGCTCGCATTTTTTGGCGGGGAAGTGTGAGCATTTCTGGAGGACTGTGCCGGCTGCTGTGCCCCCCATAGAACTTCGATCATATATCCGATGCTCAATACAGCCTTGCTTCATGTGAGCTGGCCGGCCCCCCTCTCTCCATCGACCCTCGAACCCTCTCGACGGGCCATTCCTGGGTGGTCCGAAGACGACTCTTCAAAGTCGCAGGAGCTAGAATCCATCACAGAAGCCGTGGCTGCCGTGCTGTTCCCAACAAGCTGCTGTGCGTACTAAGCACAGCCATCCGGTGTCGCTGGCCTCGCGCTGGATGTGACGCGGATCACAGTTTCTAAGGTAGAACCCATGGGCCCCTAGTATGGGCCCCTAACCCTGGGACCCTAATATACCTACTATATACCCTATATATATATACCCTTAAGGGACCCTACAATCCCCTAAGGGCCCATGTTAGGGGCCCATGGGTTCAACCTTAGACAGTTGGGAGGTGTTGTTTTGGCTTGGCTTACTGATGCCATTTTGAATGACTTTCTGTACGTAGGACGGTCAACCCAGACCCCCAAAAGGATCTAAAAAATAGATCCCCTAAGTAGGGACCCTAACTACTAAAGCCCCCTTAGGGGATCTATTTTTTAGACCCTTTTGGGGGTCTGGGAACTGTTCCAAGGCGATTCTGCTGCCGGCTGGTCCGAAGACGACAGTGCTGCCGTTGGCTGGGACGCGGAACATTGTAACATGGCATATCCCATGGGTGTTTAGGGTTTAGGGTGTTTAGGGTTTAGGGTTTAGGGTCTAGGGTTTAGGGTTTAGGGTTAGAGTTTAGGGTTTGGGGTTTGGGGTTTAGGGTTTAGGGTTTAGGGCTTAGGCTAATTAAGGTTTCAAGAACCCTAAGATAGGAACCTGATTACCCAGAGGATCCATGTTTGCTACTATTATGGAAGTAGGTCCCCGAAAACCACGCTAAGGATGGGCTATTGGGGTCCAATTCCATATGGACCCTCTGGGTTTAGCAACCCATGGTCTTGATTAGGGTTCTTCAGATGAGCCCTGATGTATTTGAGGTCATAAGGCCAGAGTTTCTATAATCAGGTTCCCACATCCCTAAGGCTCATGGGCCTCCACAGTGAAAGCCCAAACCTTAGCCCCCAAAGCCCAAACCCTCCCCTAGAAAGCCCATAACAGCAATAAGAGCCTTAGGGATTAAGGAAAAAGCGTCAGTTAAGGTCTTAAGCAGTTAGCTGCCCAAGTCCCAAACTGGCCATACAACCAAAGCCCTAACCTCGGAACCCTAATCCCTAAACCCAAACTCTAAACCCTAAACCCTAAACCCTAAACCCCTAAACCCTAAACCCTAAACCCAAACTCTAAACCCCTGAGATGCGCACCCCGCTGCTCGCCTCTGCCCTGCCATCGCAGTACTTTTCAGGAATCTGGGGCTTCGTGTTTAGGGTTTAGGGTTGTAGGATTTAGGGGCTTAGGGTTGTAGGGTTTAGGGGCTTCGGGTTTAGGGTTTAAGGTTTAGGTTTTTGAAGGGTTTAAGGACCTACTATGTTCCCCGACCCGCTGCGAATGAAGCCTTCACGAACCTCGTGCGACGACCCAAACACTCCAAAGCCTTTGTTCTTGATTAAGCAATAGATGCCTGAGGTACAATATTCTAGGATTCAAGGTATACCTGAACCCCGAACAATCCACCGTTTCGGGGTTCCTCATTGGGGTTTCTACTACCTAAACCCCAAATAAACCACCGTTTTAGGGTTCCTTATTATTGGGGTTGCTACCATGAGCCCTAAAAGATGTGAGCTACCCTAAACCCTAAACCCTAAACCCTAAACCTTTCTGGTCTTCCTGAGTAAAGACTCTAAGAGTCTCACGACGACTGTCGGTGCTGGCGCCTGGGCAACGACGATTTCTTCTTTCACCTTATCCTTAAGGGTCCAAAGGACCTGCCAACTAGGGTTTAGGATTTAGGGTTTAATATCGTTGGTTTGTAAGCCAACTGTTTGCGAGAGGATTAGGGCTTACGTTTAGGGTTTCGGATCCTCGTTACAATTCCATGTACTTCCAACCTACTCACACCGTTCCCAATCCGCTAGGCACTTAGGGTTTAGGGTTTAGGGTTTAGGGTTTTAGCCGAGCCGCAGCTAGCCCCTTTGCGCCGGAGTCCACAGAACAGCCCAAGTGCAAGTCCTGAACGGCATGGCCGGTCAGCACAGAGAAGGGTTTAGGGTTTAGGGTAGGGTTTAGGGTTTAGGGTTTAGGGTTTAGGGTTTAGGGTTTAGGGTTTAGGGTTTAGGGTTTAGGGTTTAGGGGAGAAGGCCATGTTGACTGTCTTTCTCAGGTTCCCAGTTACCATGACCATGACTGTAATCATGATGACAGAATACAATAAGAGGGGCAGCTTACTACCCTTCCTAGTTATATCCTCATTCTGGTAGCCTACAGGTGGTGGTGACCTGCATCGAAGTAAAGTCCACAGCACTCCAGAGCCCTTGATAACAAAAAAACATGTCTGGAACCCCAAAACCAACTCAAACCATTCACCTGAATGAAGACTTCGGCAAATTCTGGGTAGGGTTGTACTTTGCACAAGCTAGCCAGACTCTGGATCAGGGTTGAGGGGTCAGGCCTGACGAACATAGTTTTGCTAGATCGTGCCATCTGACACAACTCGGAGAACCACGTGCTAGCGGTATATTCTATCTATTCGAGCTTTTTCAAAATGCTGAATTGCGGACTTTGTGGTGTCGCTGGGTCTAGCTGTCATTCTTCTCGGCGGAGTTCTTGCCTATGTTTGAGGACGGTTCGAGGTTTTCGGAGAGTCTTACTGGCTTTCGAATTTAATGTTGAGGGGCTCTTGAAAATTTGGCTTAGTACATCAAGGGTGCCATGCTTTACTTACGAGTGCTTGAAGGGGACTGGGAGAGTGGATCCCTGTGGCAGTCCCAATATCATCCCTTTTCCGAGCCCCCCCAATATTCCCTTACTCTCCCTTCAACACCTGCCGCTTTAGTGTGCATAATGTAGGGGCCTTAATAATTGGAATAGGGGCTTTGGGGGTATATTATATTCTGCTATAAACACAACAAGCCCCCCAATTGGGGCAGTTCCACCTTCCAACAAACGGCCATATGACCCATCAGTTCAGGCTTCTGTTCGCCATCTGGAAAACCGACCTCTCTTCAGCAAACTAAACTGTCTTCGGCCGTAAGGCCCAAACCCCAAACCCTGAACAAAAAACACTCAGGCCCCTTGTAATACCCCGTTTGGAAACCTGATTAAACCTTCTAGATCAAACTCCACCTGCTAAACCCCTTGTTTTGCCTTATGCAGCTTACAAACTATATGATCCCCCTACACAAAACACCCTCTTCAGCGCAAGCGGCATCAATGAACAGCACCAGTCGCTTCTCACGTCCGGGTGATAGAAGCCGGCTGCCTGTTCCCTGCACCGTAATATGTTTTGGGGGTTAAGGTTTAGAGTTGGGGTTTAGGGCTGAGGGTTTTGGGTATAGGGCACAGGGTTTAGGGTGCAAAGGGTGTAGGGCTTAGGTGCGATGGGCTTTAGGGTTTGCGATTGGTTGTTCAGGATTCTGAACCCTAAACCCTCAACCCTAAACCCTAAACCCTTAACCCTCAACCCTAATCCCTGTATGATAGTCGGTATGACTCACACCCCAGAACCAAAGCCCTGGCTGGCTGTTCTTCGATCCTACTGGACCTTGCTGGTTCAAGAGGATGATGGAGCATGTTCTAGTCTGTATATATATATATATATCTCTCTCTCTCTCTCTCTTTTTCCCTCTCTGTCTCTACCTACCAAAACTTTTTTTTTTCGTAGGGTCCCTTTAAGTTTTAGATTCAAATATGAAGGTTTATAAGAAGGACCTAGTTAAGGTGTGTGTGTATATATATATATCTATCTATCTATCTATCTATCTATCTATCTATCTATATTTTTCTATATAAAGGGAGACCGAGGTGTGTTTGCCTCAGCCTAAGGGCCCAAAGCCGGGTTTAGGGTTTAGGACCCTCAGGGTCCAAGTACCCAAATCGTAGTCCCAAAAGTTATTATATTCTGAACGCTTTTTGGCACCCAAACCTTACTGTTTGGGCACTTGGCCCCTTAGGGAACGGAGGCTCGCAGTTGCATAAGTACATGACTATAAGGTACTTGGATCTTATAGTTGGAGTTCGCTTATAAGGCCTGAACCCCAAACCACATCCATGACAAAGACAAGCGCAACGACAGTACGCAAAACAACACAACATGCCCAGCGAGCCCGTCAACGCACGCACGCACGCACACACGCACACGCGCACGCGCACGCGC